AATAAATTAGGTATAAATAAAGATGAAATATACAATCAATAATTAAGTTATCATCTGCTAAGGTTGCTTCTCTTTGTTGTGCTTGCAACTGTTTTACTCCTGATTTCATTCTTTAAACTCTTCAAATCTCTTATTTGTCCTAGTATAGAATACTGTTTTTACAATAAGACTGGTTGTTCTTATGACGGTCTTTCTCTTTTTAAAAAAGGTCAAAAACACTTCTTTATTTGACAAGCTCCAATCAAAAACACTTCTTTATTTGACAAGCTCCAATCATTGTAATGCTGCATTTTTTTTTTACTTTTCTGCAAATACTATCATGGTTGCTGCTCACAAAAGCTATCATCCTTTTACTGTATCTGCCCTTATATCCTCTAAACTTTTTTTATCCATCTCGTTTCTTTTTCCCACATTTCAAACTTTTGTAACTCTCACCCTTCATATTTTTTGACTTATACAACCTTCAGCTTTTCAAATCTTCTGTCAACCTTTTCCTTGTTCTATAACTCTATTTTTTGTTTTCTAGTAACTTTAATAGTGGTTGTTGCAGCCTTTCTAATATCTGGAAAAAGTTCTAACAATGTTATTCAAATTAACGAAACTTCAATATATTTTCAAAACAAGTTAAAACATTTAGGTTTTTAACTTAGATGAGCAAATAACTCAGTTTCAAACTGTTGTAATAGCTCTAATTGACATAGGAAATTTTTTTTTGCCAGCCATCAAAAATAATTTATTTATAACTCATTGAAATTTCCAAATCTTATATATGGTATTAAGCTATACAAATATAACACAAGTTTCCTTAGCAACATGGACACTGTTAGAACCATTTTTCTGTATTTGAAAATATATTAAAAACTACCTGCAATCGTTTTTTAAAATAAAAGATATTTGAACTATTCTTCTTTAAAACATATTAAATTTATTTATAAGGCTGTTAAAAAATCAAACTTGCTATTTGCTGATATTAAAACTCATTGCAACACATAGCAAAAATTTTTTTACAAGTGAATGCTACATTTATTACTCTTGTTTTAATAATATTAAAAGAATTGTTCGAGTTATAGAACTTAAATAGGGCAAAGAGCAATTTACTGGGTAGTAAAAAAAAAATCTATAAAAAAATGAAAATAAGAAAAAAAGATTAATCTTTATTACACTTTAGTGAGCGCCTTTATTGAGAATTTAAGCGTCTTTATTGAGAATTTAAAAAAAATAGTTTGACATAATTATTTTAAAACTAACTCAATAAGTTCATATGACCAGAATAGAAATTTCATTTAAAAACATGATGAAAAAAATTTAAAAACAACAGCAACAACAACAAAGTATTAAAGAGCTTTAATACTTTTTAAAAAGCTAATTAAATTTTTAATTTTATGCTTCCATTTAATAACTTTTTAAAAACAAAGTTTAACCTTCAAAAAAGATTTCTTCTAAAAATGAACTAATTTTTTAATTGTGCAATACTTTTATAACTTTTTAAATAATGAATACTTTTACAACTTTTTAATTATGCAATACTTTTACAACTTTTAATTATGCAATACTTTTACAACTTTTTAGTTATGCAATACTTTTATAACTTTTTAATTATACAATGCTTTTATAGTTGCACATTTAACTTAATTAAAGCGAAAATAATAGGTACACACATTTTTAAAACTTTAACTTGTGTTCTCCAGAACTATCTTTAATTCTCTTTAAACTATTTAAAAAGTGCTTGACTGAATCATGTTTTCCAGCCTTCTGGAAAACAGCATTTGTGATTCCAATTTTGAAAAAACTCTGAAGAACACTTTGACCCCTCCGACTATCATCCAATCAGTCTTCTCTCTTTAACTATCATCCAATCAGTCTTCTCTCTTTAACTATCATCCAATCAGTCTTCTCTCTCCAAATATCATCCAATCAGTCGTCTCTCTATTATTAGCAAGATCTTTAAGTATTTAATCAACAAAATTTTTATCATCTCATCTTGATTTTAATAACCTACTCTCTGACTATCAATACCGATTTGGATTTCCATATGATGTAACTAAAAGATTTTATCGTGCATTAGATAGAGGCGAGGAGATAGGATAAAGTTCTTGATAAAGTTTGACATGGTGTGACAACTTTTGAGAATATTAAACCATTTCTTTCTAACTGCAGTATTATAGTGCTTAAAGTGAAAAAGGAGTAAGAAAATGGGGGAGGAGAAGAGTGATAAATAAACAAATTGCTTTCTATAATTTTAAAATTAAAATATGCTTAGCATCAGATTTTTTCTTATAAAGGCTGAATTTGTTTTTAAAAAAAATAATTTTTATCCTTTTCTAAAATATCTAACAACATTGCTTTTTATTTTATTTTCTTGGCAGCTTATTATTTCTCTTTTAATGAACTTGGTTACTAATCTTTTTTCTTATAATGAACTTGGTTACTGATCTTTCCTCTTATTATGAGCATGGTTACTAATTTCTCCTCTTATTATTACCTTGTTAGCTAATCTTATCTTTTTTAATGAATTTAGTAACTAATCATTTCTCTTAAATGAACTCGGTTACTAATCTTTGCTCTTATTATGAACTTGGTTACTAATCTTTTCCTCTATAATGAATTTAGTAACTAATCTTTTCTCTTATTATGAACTTGGTTACTAATCTTTTCTTATATAATGAATTTAGTAACTAATCTTTTTTCTTATAATGAATTAAATTTATTAAGTGCAAAATTTATAACTTTTTTTTAATAATTATTTTGACAACAACTTTAAACCCAAAATTTAATATTACTTTAAACTGATAGCAAATAATAGTTTGTATAATAAGCCAAAACAGTAGCATTTTTTTTGTATGTAAAAAAATCCCCTAAAAGTTTTTTTTAATTATTTAAAAAAAAATGTAACAAATAGTAAAAGAAAAAAATAATTTTATAAAAATATTTTTTCTCTGTAATAAATACTATAAACTAACTTGCCCATGGATATTTTGCCTACTTCTTTTCTCACAAATTTTTTTTTTCAATAAACACCCTATAAATTTTTCACTCAACAATTTTTGAAAAAAAAACTGAATGGAAACTGAATAGTTAAACCAACTGTGAATAAAATCATTACATCATTATTATCTTTTTTTAAATAACTTACTGTTCTGTGTAAATTTAAATGAAAGCGAAGTTACAAAAATTATGTTTTTGTTCAAAATATACTACAGTGGAAGATGAAATGTTTAATTAGAAAGATTTCTTGTAATTTCTGGAACTATTTAATGACAATTTTTTTTGATGAAAGACTCTCAACATAACTGCAATTGGTCAAATTTATTAAGTTTAAATTTGTAACCAGACTATTTTAATGCATCCTGAAACAAATTGGCAGAATATAAAAAATAGATTCATTAGATGAATTAGTTGACAGACTTAACCCTATAGAATGAGGATGTTGCTTTAAAATGCTAGAAAGGTGATTGGAATCAAAATGTATATACATAAAATACATAAAAGCAAATTTCTTCATTCAAAATTTGATATGGGTGATTAGGCAGCTGTTTTTAGATCTTTTTTTCTTTTTGTTGTTTGTTGTTAACTTAAATAAATAAATAAATATATATATATATATATATATATATATATATATATATATATATATATATATATATATATATATATATATATATATATATATATATATATATATATACACATACATACACATACATGTAATTAAAAATTTATATAAATTTTTATTTACATGTCAATAATCTTGTTGATTTTAAAAGTGTTAAAAGTTAACAATAATGTAATGTAGTTAAAATAAGGTTTAATGTGTATATATATATATATATATATATATATATATATATATATATATATATATATATATATATATATATATATATATATATATATATATGTATATATATATATATATATATATATATATATATATATATATATATATATATATATATATATATATATATATATATATATATATATACAAATAATAAGATAAACATATTAAACAAAATATAAATAGAGTTTTTAAACAAAAATAACAAAAAACAATAAACTAAAATGTAAATGATAATATAAAATAATAAAAATTATACTTATAGAAAACCACAAAATACTTAACTACTCTACCAATGTGCTAAATGTTAATAGATAAAAATTTATTAAAAATACAACAAGTTGCTAAAACTGATACTTTTTGGATAAATAAACTCAAGCCGATGAAGTGTAGAAATATATATGAAATTATTAGATAAAAATTTATTAAAAATACAACGAGTTGCCAAAATTGATACTTTTTGGATAAATAAACTCAAGCTGGTAAAGTGTAGAAATATATATGAAATTATAAAAACAACAAAACCATACAACCTTTAATGCTGCTAGATACCTAGATAGATACCTAGATTGAATGTTGCTAACCAATCAAAAAACAGGTTTTAAACAAAATATAATAATAACGACAAAATAGTAAGCTAAACCATTACAATGTCAAACGTCAAAAATTAGTAAAAACATATAAAAAATGACAAACATCATAAAAATGAATTTTTACATAAAGCGCTTAGAGTAATCAAAAAAAAAATTTCTCAGTCCTTTTTGAATTTGTATTAAAATGGAGAACTGTTACAAATGTAGTAGTAATTTTCAAAAAATATATTTTCTTAATTGTCAACCTAGTATACAGAGCTCAAAGCAAAGTGGAATGCCATCCTGCCACTATATAACAAAATGTAAACTATCCTACCATCTTTTTATATTACTCCTAATATAACCATGGTAAGACAGAATGGGATAATATTTTTACATTTTTTTTTGTTTAAATTAGATTTTTGTTTAAATTAGATTTATTATTTTGTTTAAATTAGATTTTTGTTTAAATTAGATTTATTTCTATTATAAACTTTATTTTATAAATTAATTAACAATAATAACAACAATATAATTAATATTATAAATAACATTAGAAATACTTTGTTGTGATTTAATTAAAAAATATCTTAAACTAAGTTTGATACTGGGCAAGACATATTGTGTGAAACACCATTAGAACAAGAAATAAAACTATGGCAGTTCCATGGATTGCGATACTGACCATCTGGTTTTCCTATACAAAAATTGTTAAAGTTAGTTTCCCCAGCATCTCTGCAGCTGCTGTATATTGGATCGAAAATTTGATTGGCTGGACAGGGTAAAGTCTTTCCCTGTTGTGATGAACACTGCAAGTATGCAAACACATCTGGAATCAAATAGTTTCCATCAGCTTTTCCTGCACATGGGTTCTCCATTAAGATCTCTATAAAAGCAAAAATATCATTCTGCATCTGTAATACTTTGTATTAAAGCAGTCAATTATTGTTTAAACAAAAACATTCACTGTTCAGACTAACTTTAAACTTACATATGTACAATAGTACAACTGTAAGTCGAGAGTTGAAAACAGTTTTAAAGAATAATTAGATTATTCTGCAAATATTAAATTAAATCTCTTTTCTGCTTAATTTATAACCCAGTTAGCACACTATGCTGGGTCAAAATTGAAACAAAGATATAATTAATGTTATAATATAAACAGAATATATTATTTACTAAAACAAAAGATTTTCATGTTAACTGTTATGTTTTGAAAAAATACTGATAATTTAATTTATGTACTTTAATTGATTTAAAAATTAATGATTTTTAATGAGCACAAAAATTTGCTGACATACTAAAGAATTTTACATATGTCCCAAAAAATAGCTAGCTTTGATTTTGTAAACAAATACTTTGTAGAAATAATTAAAAAGCTTTATAAGTGATTGAGGTCACAGGGTATAAGAAATGTATAATTTTTCCAGTTAAAAAGTTGATAGTAAATTCAAATGAAACATCAGTTCAAATGGATATTTATTTTGTAAGACAGCACAATTTTATGGACATGGTAAGTCTGCTGATTAAAGAGATATGAACTTATGAGATGATAAAAATTCAAAAGGAATCAGTAGTGATGTACTGATAGAACATTTGTGGCTAATGCAGATACTGATGCTGATGGGTGGTAAAAGGCCGATACTGATGCCGATACCAATAAATTAACTAATTATTAAATTTATGGGCAATACATTGTTTAATTTTATTTACAACTGCTACAACTCAGCAAACTTTAATATAAAATTATTAAACTTATTTGGTTACTTAACATTACATAACTGTATTGAAACAGCAGAATCAGACAATATATTTAACATTTTATTAATAAAAATAATAATTATATTTCAATACTAATGCTTCAACTATTAATCTAACATCAAGCAATCTTACAATTTAATGAAAAGATTTTTTTTCAGATAAATTTTTCAAAGTTTTCAAATAAATAATGCTAATATTGGTAAAGATATTTATAAAAAGATCTTGAATTAGCAAATTAAATTACCTATATGATACTCACTCATTTTAACAGTGCGACATGGAAAAAGTGAAGGATATTCACAGAGATTGTCATAAGGATCGTAAACTAACACTGGTGCTGCGCAAGCCATATTGTGTGATATACCATTAGAACAAGAAATAAAAGTATGGCAGTTCCAAGGGTTGCGATATTGACCATCAGGTTTATTAGTAAAAAAGTTGTTCAAATTATAGTCTTTAGCATCCTTGCAATCACTATATTTTGGATCAAAAATTTGATTATCTGGACAGTTTACATAGCCTCCTTGTTGTGATGAACACTGCAAGTAAGCAAACACATCAGGAATCAAGTATTTTCCATCAGCTTTTACTGCACATTGACTGTCTATAAAAATACAAACAATTGGAGCTAATAAAATAGAACAAAATTTAATTATAGTAAATGTATCAGAAATTAATTTTTTGTTGTCAGCTATCCAAACTACATTAGAAACTTTCTCAAAATTTCAATACTACTCTAAAATTTGCAGTTATATAATGAATGTATAGAAGTTAAATGACTTCCATTTGAAAAATGGTAATTTCATTCAAATTACCATTTTTTAACAACATTTATTTTTAGATTACAGCAATAGTTCCAATGTAATACAATTTATAATTTAATATCAATTATTATAAAACCAACTTAGAGAGAAAATGGAGGAACACTTTCGATAAATACTTGAGAAATATGTCACTAACTGGAGCATCATTTTCATGACGTTTAAAGGATCCCACGATTGGTATAAAAGTAAGTGGAATACAAAAAAGCAAAATGCAGAAGATTTATTGAAAAAATTAAAACCAATAATTGTAATTAAAAATTAATTACAATTGTAATTAAAAGTTGCAAAGTGATCATAAGTGATACTGATGAAATTTTTGGAACTTTTATAAACTTTTAAAAACACGTTGTTTTTTACAAATGAAAAAAAATATTGAAAACTTTAGATATCTAAAGACTGACAGTGATTTCCTTGCAAACACACTAGATCCTAGATCATTTTTAGATCTTTTAAAAAACATTATTTTTAACAAATTTAAAAAAATATTGAATACTTCAGATATCTTAAGATTGTCATTGATTTCTTTGCAAACACACTAGATCCTAGATCCTTTTTAGATCTTAGATATTTCTCAAATTTAAGCAAAGTAAACACAAGCATATATTTGTATAGTAATCAATTTTTAAAAATGTATAACCATAATGATGGAAATAAAATCTTAGTGTTGTAACATTACAACACTAGGAAGTTTGTTTAATGTACTAAATTCTAGAGCAAGAAGACGTCTTTTTTCAACACTGCCACTGTCAATAGGGAAACTTGCAGGGAAACATGCATGAATTAAAAAAAGAGTTTAAAAACAGTTTGGACTACATTTTTTATTTATACTAAAATTTAATTTTTTTTAAATATTAAATATTTTTATATATAACTAAACAAAATTATGTAAATACATCTAATTTCTAAAAAGTCCTAACAGATCTTCAAAAAGGAGGAGGTTTTTCAAAAAAAGTTGACCGTAAACAAACTGCAAGAACTAAAAAATAATATTGATTGTAACTTGCAAAGTATCACTAGATTTCAAAGCTGGTCTAGAGAAGCTGGAACTTCAGGACAATCCATGCAACTGATAGCTCCTGAGTGAAGGAACAAGAGAAAAACTGAACAAACAAGCTCGCATTTTTTTGAACTTCATCCAAGCTCACAACATTTTTGTGGTTTATACAGATGAAAATTTTGTCACTGATTTGAATTAAATTGAATCAACACAATGACAGGATCATTTCAAAGCCCAAAGAAGACATAGTTTGGGGCAAAGGAGGCATCACAGTTAAAAATAACCATTATAAAGAGACAGCATCCTGCAGTAAACATGAGTGTTTGATTTTTCTGTCAGGTAAATCCATCTACGGTTAATGCCTGTTACATTAAAAAATTTTAACAGATGAAATAACAGAAAACTTCTGTTAAAAATATTTAATCGATTGATAATTTATTTGTTGATTTCATTATTTTATATAAAAAAAAATTTATAATTGTTTAAAAAAAAGTTAAAATGTATTAACTGGTCTAGAGTCTGTTTCATCTTATGGTTTATTTAAAATAAATTTTTTTTTTTATTTATTTTAATTAAAGAAACTTTTTTTTATTAAAGAAACTATTTTTATTAACTTTAATTAAAATAAAATAAAACAACAAAAAAGCCTTTCTTTTTTGCTCTTTTATTCAATCAAAATTTAGTTAAAAGACAAAGAGCAAAAAAAATTTAAAACCTACATTTTGATTATCGAATTGTAGGTAAAAATTTAATACAAGCAAAAATTTTATATAATTTTATACAAAACAAAATTTTATACATTTATTAAGAGCAGTATTATTTTACAGTTTTAAGCAAAAACTCAAAATATTTTTGCACATTTAACAAACTTGTAACTTGAATTTAAAAGATATAATTTAAATTTAAATAAGTTTTATTAATACAAAAAAATTGTTTCTTGCTGATAAACTTAAATTAGTTAGGTTAGTTACTTTTTTTAAATTTATTTAATTTTCTAAATGTTTTTTTTTTAATTAAAAATAAAGCTTATTATCGGTATTGTTAGAGTGTTTGTGACATATTTTTTTAATGTTAATTTCTTTTTTGTATATTAAATGTCAATAACAAGTTCTTTTATTTGGAATTATTTTGAAAAAGAACCAACTAATAAAGATAGAGAAGTAGCTGCCAATCCAATTTACAATAAAGTGTCAAAAAGTGTAAAAATTTATTAAGGGTTCCACATCCAGTATAAGATAAATTATTAGTTGAAAAAAAAATTATGAAATTCAGTTAATCAAAATCATGGAAAAGAAAATAATTCTACAGAGACAAAAACGTAAATTAAAATTTTTTTTACAATGATACTATTTTAAGTACACAGCTTAATTGAAAAAGTTGTTAATTAATTTCTGATGATGTCTAAGAATAATACAAGGTCCATCAACAAAAAAAATGAGTTATGTATAATGTTTCAGCTAGCTTAAAGTCTCAGCTCAAAAAGTATAGACAAAAAAAAACAAACAATACAACAGTATCTAAGTCACAAAATCATACATTGTCTTTACTTTCAAAATACAAAGTAATTTCAGTTACAAGTTACCCTAGATATAAATATATGATATGAATATGAAGGCAGCATTAGATAAAAAGTTGACAAGTGAGTTAAAAATGAAGATGGTGTATTATTCACCACTGATTGCTGGATTTTTAGAACAGTAGATTCATTCATTACTTTAACTCTGCTTTACATTGCTAGTGATTACACTTTGAAAATATTGATGATGGAATAAAAAATGGTTGAGTAACTTGTTGGCTTGAAGGCAAAACAAAAAGTGATGATTACCGATGTTTTTAGTAACACGATAAAAACAATAACGCTTTCAAAGCATGTAACTCATGTTTGTGTTCAGCCTAAACCTCTAGTGCAGTATTCACTCGCCCATAAGTTACTATATGCATGTTTGTGTTCTATTTAAATCTCTGATTCTGTGTGAGATCATTACCCAACTCAGTGAAGCTAACAAATCTATGTTCCCCCTAATCTCTAGTATTCTGTTGGAATGTTTTTCTTAATGCACTCTTAAAATATTCTCATCAATGTTTTAAAGTAATGTTTACAGGAAGTAACTTCTTTTAACTACTCCAGGCTAGATCTGATTCAGGATCATCACAATCACCCTGATACTGGTATTATGTAGCCCTATACTACCTGTACCATGCCATGCTGCCTTGTGGGATTTACTTTTTTTAGACAAAGGCTAAGAGAAACAAACTTAAATATCCCCTGCCTTGGGGCTTTTGGTTGAGTAAAGGCTAGAAATGGTCTCTCGATAAAAATACCAATCTTGGCAGATGTTAACTGCATCCAACTACTGTCTTGTAGAAGGCCTAGCTTGTGTTCAATTTCAAATTATTCTCCTTTAGGTGTTTCCAACTGTGCAATGATCTGTATAAACTTTTTATCTTGTACTTCTTCTTCAGACTCATCCTATCATCACACTACTTACTAATACCCTAAAAGCTGACTGGGATTCTTTTGTGATTTTCTTCATGACTTGGGCTAATGTCTTTTCTCTCTCCACTGATAAATGCACTTCCTATATAACCACTTGGATCCAGGCAGGAATGGAATGTTCATTCTCAAAAAAACAAACATTCCATTCCAAAAAAGAGTCGTTCTTTTTTTTCAAAAGAACAACTCTTTTGAGAACAAAAAACTATTTATTATTGCAAGAAATAAATGTAAAAAGGTGCTGTTTGATGCTAAGCTCCATAATTATTAGTTCACTAAATCTTGTATCTTATCTCAGAAGTTAGGTTAGGTGAAAAATCTTCAACCCATCGACGGAGCTAGGTCTAATATTCCATCTCTCATTCATGAGACTAAACAGAAAAACTATGGCAAAAATTTAGCAAATCCGGCATAATTTTAGCCGGAGTTTTGAATTTTCTCAAATATTTATTACATTTTTTTTGCCCGTGTTTACATGTATACCTAATATTTTATTTATAAAAATCAATTTTTTTTGTAATTCTATGTTTTATAAACCTCATATTTGTTTTGGTATTTGTATTTATTTTTCTTTATAATTTAATAAGCTTAGTCTAATTTCAAACAACAACGCAACAAAAAATTCTGAAGGGAAAACACACAATATTTTACAATGATGCACGTATAAAGACTATGATGTCAATCCTAATCAAGTGATTGGATTTAAAACTAAATTCTCCTCATTACAGGCAACGCTGACAGCTGAAAAAACAAGATTGAAGTCAATCTGAGCATACTAAACAGAAGATTGACAAAAATGAAGAAAATACACCAAAATAGGCCGAGCTTAATAATTTTTCTACATCATCATCATCATTACTCTGGCAATTTATTGATAAAATTATTCAGTCTACGTCCGCTGGTGGCAGGGCACATAAACAACAATTACTAAAAGGCATTGAAACTCAGCTAAGGAAATATCCGAAAGAACCAGAAATAAATAGACACAATGATCCACTACAGTGGCGGAGTGACAAAATCCCGGAAAAAAAGTTCAATAGAATTACTATAAACTTTAAAAACATATGGCCTATAGAATTTCTATTAATTTATATATAGAAATTGTTTTAAAAGTTTTTAAATAACAACAATGAAGTTTAACAGAAAACAGCAGTCACTTGGTATTCTGAATAGTCCACATTGTTGACCATGCTCAACACCAAGTAGGGATGTACAGGATTTTGGCTCCTGTAGTTTTGTTTTGAAATCCGGCTCCGGCTCCGATTCCGGCCAGATCTGTCAGTAGAAATCCGGCAAATCCGGCTTCGGCCGGATTTGAAAAAATTAAATCCGGTACAGCCCTAATACTTATGTAGCATAAGATAACAGAAAACTCAGTATCTAACTTGTTTTGTTTCTTTACTTTTTTTAGGTAACTTAATGTATAGTGATTTAATTACTTTTTTATTCTGGGATGTCTGATACAGCCATTTTTTATAAACAGTAATACTTACGTAGTTTTGACAGATTCGTAAAG